AGAGAGAGAGAGAGAGAGAGAGAGAGAGAGAGAGAGAGAGAGAGAGAGAGAGAGAGAGTCTCCTTTTCTTTTTTTTTGGGGGGGGGGTTTCCAAATACCCCCATTAAGTTCAGATATATGTCAAAATGTCCCTAAAAGATATGGGCACAGTGGAATGGCCTTTTGGGCTGACATATTTGCGTTATGGACCTGTCAGCCGGACGTGCAAATTCGCTTGGCCTTTTGCAAATGCACCTATGAACACTTGGCAACTGCCGGGGTATTTTGCAAAGTTGGGCAGCGTCCGGTGAGGTGCATTGCAAAGATGGGGCCCAACTGATGGCTGGGGTGTTTGGTAAAATGCTTGCGTCATTGTCCTTCGCAGGTCCACTTGTTCGTTTTAATGATGGCTTTCTTAATTTTACGACTCACATCTGACCCCTACCCATTGTAGGTGCTCAGTCAGTTGATTAAATTGGCATTCGAACCGGCGATATGGACTCTTTGGAAAGCAGGCAAGTTGCACGTAAACGCACATTCAAATACGAAAGAGCAAATCAAGAGTATATTTACCAACAAAGAAGAGAAACTGGGTACTACGGTACTAATACCCCCAAAAATGGCAAGTTTGAAAGGAAATAACTCCAAAGTTCAAATAACTTCAAATAAGCCTATTTTGTGAACTGGTTGGCAGGGTTAGGAACCGGGTGTTGAACGGGGTGAGGATGGAAATTTATACGGCCGGGGCCTGGAAGCTCGGTGAATGATGAGGGAGAAGGAATGGAGAGGGGGATTTAAGAGAAGAGGACCAGAAGGTTTACCAGATAGACTACCATCTTGCCCCCACCACAACGCACCAGGTTCCTCATTGTTGCCTGCACCTGAGGGGAAATATAGCTTGAAGACAGTCATTATCAGGCTACGTTATGTTCGGGGGATGATGGTACCGCGTTGGGCATATAGGTTCGCTCCCACATTCCCCATCGGCTTCAAACTTCACGTGGAAAATTACTTAGCCTACTCCCACACAGTTTGAAAAGGAGAGATGACAAAGAACCATTCATTAGTTATTCTTCTGTTGAAAGTTTATAATTATAGCAAGTATAGGCGTTTACTTCGAACGTGCATAACCAACAGTTAAACCTCCTGATGAAGCAATAATTGTTGTGGAACGTGGAGCAGTTGATGCTGTCACGCAACTCACTCGTCGTAACAGGGGGAAAGGTTGTCTGCACTCGTGAGCATGCGGCGTTTGACCCAGTTCCGAGCGGGTGATTCTTGCTTAGACTGGATCTTGTTTCATTTTCTTTCTTTTAAGTTTTAACTTTTAACCCCCTCGCGTGCGGAAAAGACGAATGGGTCTGTCTCAGCACAGTGCACTTTCAATATATGTTGAGAGAACTTGAGACAAGTAACCAGCATTTAATAGCCAGCCACAGAGAGGTAATGATTAACCCTTTCGGAGCTTGGAATCTGTGGCATACTTTCCATGCTTTTCACCATAAGCAAACATTGGCTCTTTTATCAACTTTTATGGACACCACTCACACCATTCATATAAAGAAGCCCAAGTTACAATACACCTAGGCTTTTTGCCTGGAGAGGATGTTATATTGCTACAACTTGACAGCTACACAACTTTTTACACTACTATACGATCTGGACGACCAGTTAGTTTCGCAATGCCAAAATTAGTAAAATTATAAAATACACCTGGCCGAACAGGATCGTCCGTAAGTGAATCCCAACGCACAAGCTCACCACTCCAATAGAGATATGCCATACACAGTGATATATAGTTTTCTGTTTCGCTGGACAGTTTAAGAGCCCAATAGGGTCACTGGGTGCACCTGGGGGTCTGGAATCTTGAATTATTGATGCAGGTGCTTGCCGACTGGATAGACGCTCAGCAACCTTTGCCCACATCTCCCGACGGAAACTGGAGATGCTCTAGGTTCGAATAACCTCTGCAAGAATTCAAAGACTAACGAGAGGGATCTGAGGATGTTAAGGCTAGCTAGGATCTCTCTAACAAAAAAAAAAAAAAGAAGAAGAAGAAAAAACTTGGTTTGCCTATGGGACTTGCAGAGGAATATGCTTACCCCGAGCGCTCGAAGTGCCCAGTACAACGTGGCTCGTGCGATAGTGCTTCAAACAGGGCTGGGGAGGGAGGTGAGAACCTGCTTAGCCCTGATGCCTGTAACCGCTGTCCGGTCAAAGATCACCGAAATGCGTGATGATCCAGGGTGTACTCAGGGTGTAGGGATGCGCCGGGGATCGAGATGACGAGTAACGGTGGGAGGGTATCTCATAGGGGGCCAGTTAGGCAATACATCGAGATGATCAAACGGTCAGGTGCTGGCAGGCCTGTCATATGCCTAGTAGCCAGCCGCTAAAACAACCTCGACTTTTTAAAGGGGAAAACCCGGAAAAGCAAAAAAAACACTCCCCTGGCCTTCCTTTCAAGATCAAGAAGTAAAGACCATCTCAGCTAGTACCCCTACCAACAATTCCATATCATCGGTGACAAGACATACTAGTCCGTATCCTTAGTGGGATGGGTCTAGCCCGGACTCAAGAGCATACTCACACAAAACAGAAGAATCACAAAATGAGCAGCCAGATGGAGTCCTCCTTTTCAGGAGGACTCGATCTGGCCGCTTGTGTCGCAATTTGGCGGTTTTGAGGGCCTGGTTTCCACAAGGACTTGATCTGTGGCCATTTGTTTTGCAATTCTGTGATTTGAGGGCCTACCGTAGCGTGAGTATGCCCTCCGTTCCAGCATTAGCATCACGGAGACAGTCAAGGAAGGTCCTTAACCTCGGTGGTCTCCCCGGGTATGGATACAAGAAAGTCCGGCCCATATGCTGATGTGGTAGTCTGGAACCCTGGCTTGAAATCGCCCTGAAGGATGCGTCTCGCCACCTCAAGTGAGCAGCTTGCTGTGAATGGGTAGGGTGCACCCACGGTTGCTATAGCCCGTGCAACTTTGCCGCCTGCTTCATCGCGTGCTTCGCCGACAGCAGACATATGGACCCCCTCAACATCCTTGGGCTCAGGGCCAGGTTGCGTAAACAAGTCTACTGCAAAGCCCGCAACCTTCTGGAACGCATTGGTTGTCAACAAGGGCCTGACCATCCGGACAAGTCCTGCAGGTGGCAGCTTCATGTTTCCTGGCATGTAACTGGAGATGTTTGGTATTCCTGTCGAGTGCCCTGCCACTATTATCTCACATGCAGGGAATGACGAGAAGGACATACCTTTATCATCGCCATCGAGATCGAATTTCCGATGCCTTGCAGCGACAGACTCTTGCACCAAGTTCCCATCTCGCATTGCTAAACCACCATCCGGAAGGATGCTAAACAGAACCGACTTCATTGTTCCACGCGACATAGACATAGACTTACTCGTAGAGGGCATGTTTGCTGTGGACGCCCGTGGGACCATGAGCCCGAGGTCCAGATGTGTTGCAGTCGGCAGGCGACGCTTAAGATGGGCAGCAACTGCGTCTCCTACAGCGGCGTCGAAGCCAACAGCAGGCATCAGAGTCAACCCACTCGATTTTGCCTCCTCGCTGCGACTCTTCACCGCTTCGACAACCCTTGCCTCTCCCGTCACATCTAGATAGTGCACTTTTTTCCGCAGACAAGCTTCCAGCATCGGAGGTGATGTGACAGCATACGGTCCGGCCATGTGCAGAACAAGTTTGTGCCGACCAACTAGGTCATCAAGTTTTGCCGAATCGCTCAGATCAAGCACCTCGTAAGGCAGCTGAACCTTGTCCGCAACCGTCTTCACTTTCTCTGCATTGCGACCTGCAAGAGTCGCACTGAGCCCCAGTTCCTTCACCTTCTGTGCAACAAGATTACCTGTGTAGCCAGTAGCCCCATAAACCAGGATAGATGCTTCTGACGCCATTGACACCCGATGGCCTGCAAGTCAGTTAAAAAAAGTGTCAGTGCCCTTGTAGGAGCTGTTGCCAGAGAGAGGTGGCAGCAGTATGGGTGAAATACAGACCCCAAGAGACGACAGCTGCAAAATTGAGACAGTTCTCCAGAATAGCATTGATACCCGAAAACATGTTGCAGGGTCCGGGGAGGGGCAAAGGAGGTGCTTTGTCTCCCAGGTTCGGAAGCTCTGTTGGGAGAGGATGATTCGACAAATTGATTGTGGAGGCCCTCAGGAATGAGGGTGTTAAGCAATAATACCTTAATCCTGAGAGTTCTGCTGCAGACACACTGTAGTACCGACATCACTAACAGCCGCACAAAGCTGTAGGATGAGACATTGAGAATATGTGACATTCGGACCGGTGCTAAGCTGTATGAATGATTTGAGCACATTGTCCTCATCCTGACAGCCTGAGCACATGCTTATGGTGTTGCCGAGTTTAGAAGCCTGGTTCTGCCGATTCAGCCAGGGCATCCATCAACCAGCCACTCCGCAGACGTTGCACACAGGGGCACAAGTTTCAACCTCGCTGCTTCTATTTCTGAAAATCCAACTTGCTTTTTGCACCTTCGCAGTGCAAGGCACACAGGTAGACACGACAGCAGAAGCAGCCCACCAACCACATTCGCAGCGAACATGAGTACTTGTGCACGCCACGGCAGGCACGCATGAGCAAGTGCAGGTAAGCATACCCGCCGTGGCAGCTCAGAACACGCCACGGCAGGCACGCATGAGCGAGTGCAGCTAAGCATACCCGCCAGGCCTGCCATAACAGCCAGCAAATACTGGGCCATTGAAAGACTATCAGGCACTGGTCAAATAAAAGATGACCAGACACCTGTCCAAATAGCTAGATTGGACCAAATAGTAGCCCAAGTGCTGGATGCGCACAAAAGGGGGTTCGATCAGAAGACTAAGCCTAAGGTGTGGGAACAACACTGAATGTTGTCTCAAGGAAAATGCCAGCTCCGTGGGGTTGTGTAGACCCCTGCAGGACTTGAATGGATTTGGAGAGGAGCACCATGGCATCCCCACAAACTGTTTAGTCAAGGTCACTGACACTACCGTCTTCACCCGAAAACAATGCCTGGGTGTTGTATTCAACTTACCCTAAGAAATCAGATTTTTTGTTTTCTACAAATTTTACTCACTTTTTTCAAATATAACGCCCCTTCGAATACAACGCCCAGGCATTATATTCGAATTCAACGCTCGGTGTCGGAGGGCGCGGTGTCAGTCGCTTTCAGAATAAAAGGAAAAAGGGAAAGTAAAAGAAAAGAAAAGGGGAACTGGGAACGTCATTTCGACTGACGTCTACAGTGAACCATGGCTTTAGTTTGGATCAAATCTAGCAGTTACTATTGACTACGCCGAATCGTTTCTCGCGGGTTCTTTTTATTAATTCTTTTACTTTAGATTAAGTGCATTTTCAAGTTTGGAGGCGAACGGTTCGATTATGAACTGTGAAGTGCAGGCAGGCGGCTTAGGTTGCTTGTCTCTTCGTTCTTCATGTTACCGCAGACTTGTCCGGCTGAGCATCGCGCCGTGGGACCCCAAAAGAGGGGCAACCCGCGGCCGCGTTGGTAAGAGGCTTATCACCCCCCGTGGAAGGCCATAAGCCCCCTCCTTGCCATCGGACACGGGTACCCAAATAGGAGTAGGCCGACGGCGTGTTTTGAGGGGAGGAGTGTGCCCGTCGGTATCCCGTTATGGGACCACCGCTTCGACCCTGTAGTCATATCACGAGGATTAGTGATTAACAGTAGTGCAGTGAGTTCGGCTCATGCTCTGACCGTTGAGTTCCCGTCTCCCATCTTTCTTAAATTATTTGATTTTGTTTTATTTTATTATTTTTGGAACTCTAAATTATTAATATGAAAAAAAGAGGGTTATTCAAATTCTTCATTTAGAACGCAAGGATCGTGGTGAGTGGCGAGCCTATAAAGGGTGAGACAAACGAGTCTTTGGCTATTGGCTGGAGGGTGCACTCAGGGGCCTTCGCCGTGCTAACGACTGGCGGACTGAGTTAGAAGCAAGAAGCAGCTAGGTGTTTGGAAAAGGGGGCTGGTTGAGTGTGCATGCACTAAGTACCGTGACACTACCAGCCGTGAGTTTGTAGCTATGGTGCGGAGTAATGGACTATACGGCTATAGGCCAAAGTACCTCCAGTACATCTGGAGGTGGGAGCAGATGTCGGGTGAGGGGCCTATGGTGACTGCTATCCTGGACTATAGCCGTTGCAATCAGGAGGCAAGGCTGAAGATCAACATTGAAGGGGGGAAAGAAGAAGGGATACGAGCTGGCCAGGGACTGCAGTTGGCTATTACAGAAGCCAAAGACCGTGCTGAGACGAGGTGCAGACGGGACGGGGTCACTGACGAAATGAAAGTGACTGTCTCGTACTTGGAGGGAGACTTCGACAGACACAGCAGAAAGGGAACAGCGGCACCTAGATCGCAACACAGAAGCGGAGAGTGAGGAGAGTGACCGGGAAGTTCGGACCCAGGCTTGGCACAGGCTGGACCAGTGGCGGCGGGACCACCCGCTCGTTGAAACCGTGGAGAGAGGCCCAGAGGCCAACTCGCGGCGACGAAAGGACCAAGGCAACTAGGCTGCTAGACACGAAAGAGAGCGTGTGAGGCGGACATGCACAAGAACGAGAGAGTGAAGAGGCCCAAAGGTCAACACGCGTCGGAGAGCCTCAGAGAGAGAAGCGGGTTGTTACGAGGACACGGAGGCTGACGTCCGTTTTCCCTACTCTTGTCGAAGAGGAGGGGGCTCTGGCGTTGTGCACGCCGGATCAGGGCTAGGTGACTTTGTTTGATCGTGGGAAGTTGGCCAGCCAGAGTCTACCAGTGGCACCAGGATCTCTTGATGGGACGAGCCAGCAGCAAGAAGTCCTATGATATTGAACTACTAGATTGCACTGGAGAGATAGAGACGGGTCAGGTTGGCGAAGAGAGGGGGAGAGACGAGTGTCGAGCACCCGTGGTGGTAGAAGACGGGGCAGAGCTCCCTGCAGTGTGACGATTGCAGCGTGTGTGAGGGCAATGCGTGCACGATCACAACTGGAAGTGGTGAGAAGGTTATAGACAGCGGGGCTGAGTCTTGGATGAAGAAGAGAAGATGAACTTGCAGCGCCAAACGCGTGAGAAGAGTGAAGCCGGACCGTCAGCAGTGAATCTAGCATGGTCAGGCCGTTGACGTCACCTACCCTTATCGGCGATCGCTGTTTTCCGTTTCCGAAGATGAGGAAATGGGAATCGTAATCCTCTCAGAGTGTAGCGTGGGCGAGTGATTCTGATGACTCAAACAAGTATTGGTCACGAGTGAGATGTCACGGCTGCTGGCCCTTGCTTCTCAGAAGGTCGCCATCCTTGTAGATGAGTGTCATAGGTTGATTAAAAGGGGGTATGGACCAATAGTACGCATAGACGGTCTCGGCCTGGCTGGGTATGAGAGGTGAACGGGAGTGATCTGCTGTAGTCATAGATCCTCCCGTGTAGCTTCTCATACTCACGGAGCCTTTAACCCTTCCCACTCTATTTCCAATCTTGACTTCCTGGATGGGTGTTGCCGTCGACTTCAGATCAGGGAACTGGGTCACTCTCTGGCGATCATCTGTCACTAGTTGACCAGCGCCGCGTTGGGGGTTACTTCGTAGTTTTAGCCAATTTGTGAGCCTCTATTGATTGTGCTTTCCGAAATTCCGAGAGATGTATGTCTACCATTGTAATGGCCAAGTATTTGTGAACGACAAACCGGAAAATTACGAAGGAGCTCTCTGAAAAGGATGGATGTGACTGCACACGAGATTGAAGAGCTTTGCGCTTCTTGCCAGTGAAAATTGTTAGATAGATGATTGGAGGGAAAATCTACGGTAAGCTCTCGGCCCCTTCATCTTTCAAAATGGAGTGATCTTAACACTCTCCAAACCATTACAGGGCAAAATTAGATGGGAAGGAAGCGGCGAATTCTGAGAGTTATTGCCTACTTACTCACTAAATTTCTAATTGATGGGGACTAATTTTGCAACATGATTAGAATTAGTCAAGCAGTAGGGTTCATCTGAAAAGGTGATTTGCTTGACCCTGGATGCGAAGCACTTTAGTTCTTCCCATGACGAGAGGGGGAGGGCTTGGCACGACACAACTGGCCGTCCATAGCCAAGTCGGTTGAGTGCAATAATCTGTATTCTTTGTCTCTATCTGCAAAAGTCGAGCAACTCTATCTCCATCTGTATGTCTTGATGAGACCGATGTTTGCTTTCATAACAGTAACTGAAGGATGTCAGTCCCTCAAAATGGGTCCATGCAAAATACTTCACGTGCTGTCTGAATGAGAGAGAAGGCTTCAAATTGAAATTCCTTTGCGCTGAGTGGAAAAAGCCTAAAAAGGCTTATTTAAAGTTATTTTATTCAACTGTCTATTCACTTATTAATTTAGTCATTTTGCTTATCTGTCGATTGGGTGGATGGGTGTCAATCTGGAACCCCGTTTCAAACTTTGCGGAGCTTCATGCCTAAAGCTGGACCTGGGCGTGTCAACTAGCTGTGAAAAGTGCAAGTGAAGGTGGTACCCAGGGGTCGACCTGCTCCGTGCGGGAGCAGAGATGACACTGATGAACACTTCGCATGATGATTAAAAACCCGGATGAAGTCTCTGCAAAACCTGCCCCTGTGCCCTGTTATGATAAGTTCTTCACTGGTCAAACCAATGTATCAATTAACCGAGTCTCGATCGCAGTGAGGTTTTACCCATGGGTCCGAGGCATAGTGCTATCAGTTGCTAATTATGGAAACCTAGCCGCTAGAGGTTCGAAAGGGAACAGTGCAATAACCACTCGGTTAGGCATCTAGGAAAAGGTGGAAGGCTTTTGCTGAGAAACTGGTAGAAGGAAGCTTGAATGGTGAGACATTGTGAACGATGCCGGCCCCAACAGGGTACTGTGAAAACCCTGGTCTTAGACAAGATCGTTCGG